GCAGCTTCAGCTTGGCCATTGGTTTGGGGGTGTTCCACCGAGGTTGAAAGGTGTTTGACTCCGAGTTCGTTGAGGAATTCTTCGAACTCTTGTGCAATGAACTGCTGCCCGTTGTCAGTAACGAGGGCATGAGGGATTCCGAAGCGGCAAATGATGTTTTTCCAAGTGAATTTCCGCACGTTCTCGGTGGTAATTTTGGCGAGTGGGCACACTTAAGAGTTACTTAGCCCGAGCATCAATGAAACTGAGTGCCTGAAGATTGATTAGGGAAGCCCGTGTTGGATGGATGCCATAGTAAACCACCTTCGGACCGGGGAATTGCCCGAAGATTCCCTAGAAGCGAAGAAAATGAGGACCACAGTCGCACGGTATACGTTGATTGCCGGAGAAATGTATAAGCGAGGCATCAAATGATGTTTTTCCAAGTGAATTTCCGCACGTTCTCGGTGGTAATTTTGGCGAGTGGGCACACTTCGATCCACTTGGTGAAGTAGTCAATTGCTACGAGAAGGAATTTTAGCTGTCCCTTCGCAGGTGGGAATGGTCCAAGGATGTCCATTCCCCATTGGGAGAAGGGCCATGCTGACATCATATGGTGGAGGTTTTCGGGTGGCTGTTGGTGCTTGTTGCCGAACTGTTGGCATTCTTTGCATTTTTGGAGGTGGCTTTGGCAATCTGACTTCAAAGTGGGCCAGTAGTACCCAGCTCGGAGTACTCTAGCTGCCATTGAGCGCGCGCTAGAGTGCATACCGCATATCCCTTGGTGGATTTCCCTGATGACATAGGCTGCCTGAGATGCTGTTAGACATTTAAGTAGTGGGGAGGAGATGCCGCGCTTGAATAACTCATCGCCAATGATAACGAACTTGGCCGATCTCATCCTTACTCTCCGAGCTTCATTCTTGTCCTCGGGCAGGACCCCTTCTTTCAGGTATCTCCAGATGCTTGCCATCCAGCCCAGGTCTTCATTGTCACTGAGGCTGACGATTTTGTCGTCCAGGCTGGGGGAGTGTAAGGTTTCTTGGATGATAGTTCGGTGCTGCCCGGGTCTTTTGGTGTTGGCGAGCTTCAATAGGAGGTCAGCTTGGGCGTTTTGTTCTCGCAGTACGTGCTTTATGGTGAATTCATCGAAAGCTGAGATCTGGTGGGACGCAGTGTGGAAGTACTGTTGCAGCATAGTGTCCTTTGCTTGGTACGTCCCGCTGAGCTGCTCCACCATGAGCTTTGAGTCACTGTTGCAATTTACTCTTCGAGCTCCGAGGTCGCGGGCCAGCCTTAGTCCCGCTAGGAGTGCCTCGTATTCTGCCTGGTTATTGGTCACCTTGAACCCGAATTTGAGGGATTGCTCCAAGGCGACTTGGTTTGGCCCTTCCAGAATGATGCCTGCGCCGCCTCCTTTGGAGTTGGAGGACCCGTCCACATGTAAAGTCCATGCCTGGGGTTCTTCGGTGGCAATTGGTGTGAGCTCGGCTACGAAGTCGGCCAGGCATTGGGCCTTTAGTGGTCCGCGACCTTCGTATTGGAGGACGAAGCAACATTCCCTCTCGAATTACCTCGCTCGGCCAAGGACGAACGCGTATTCCCTCACGAACCATGTTAATCGGTTAAGGATGATTCAATAATTCCCTCCCAAGCAAACCTCACCCGGCTGAAGGACATCTCAATTTTATCGTTCAAATGGAAGCAAGTCTCCATAGAAAAACCGATTCATTTGAAAGCACAACGTCTACTTAAATGTGCAAGTATAAAAAAGTCCGAATAGGAACTAAAATTTCATTCAATTCAAAAGCGGCACTAACGGCCGGAGGGTACAATCGGGTGTGGCTCATCCGGCCCAAGGAATCAAAAAAGAAACAAAAAATATACCCTATCCATATACATCATCAACAAAACAGATGTATGAATCCAAAACAAAGGCCGCCTAATCGGCATTGGTGGTCTGCTCGGTCTCGTCATCATCATTCAGAGTGGTCCCGGGATCCTCTGCCGGGGCCGATTGGGGCGGGGCCGCATCATCTTCATCAGGCCCACATATGTCACTATAAATATACAGGTAGTGTGACATAAATGAGGTATGTTACTATTCCCGCTAATGCATTTATTGCTCTAAACCGAACACTGACTTGATCGTCGGAGTGCCTGTGCAGGCACCCTCCCCCACCACGTGGAGCGAGTGTTTGGTCAACACGGAAGATTCAGAAGGACTTGAAGGCAACTAGGAAGGATCAAGAAGAAGAGTGTTCTTACGCAGGAACACTCTGGAAATGCGATGAGGGAAACAATGTGAAAGAAGGAGAATTTACAGATATTCTAAGAGTGGTTAATAATAACCATTTATATCATAAACTAATCACTTCAGTGGTTCTAAATATGGCACTATTGTATTAGTGCCTTGTGAAGTTGGGTGAACTGTGAGTATTATTATTGGCAGAGGTTCCATATATTAGGGACATGTTGTATTATGATTATTCTGGCTTAAATCTGATATTAATTTATCTTTTTATTATCAGCTACGGTTAAATATGCGGCTTCCTCTTTGTGTATTTTCATTAAATAATTTGGAGTTTAAAAACATCCCTCTGCTAAAGATTTCTATTTTCTGGGGCTGAATCATAATGTACTTGTTTAAGTCAATCTTATAAATTCTAATAATTGTTGGTTGTTTAAGCGGGATAATCAATTGTGAAATATGCAGCACAATTTTTCTATTATATAGTTAGGCATAATTCTTCATTTCCTGAAATATAATTGGTTGTGCAGATGTTGAAGTCCCAGTTGCTTGTGTAATACTGGTGTTTTTGTTTGCACTTCAACATTATGGGACTCATCGAGTGGGGTTCTTATTCGCACCTGTTGTGATGACCTGGCTGGTATGCATCAGTTGTATCGGCGTGTATAATATCTTACATTGGAACCCACATGTTTATGAGGCTCTCTCTCCGTACTACATGTTCAAATTTCTGAAGAAGACTCAAAGGGGAGGTTGGATGTCCTTAGGGGGTATTCTACTATGTATAACAGGTAAGTAGTAAGTGTGTATTAGTATTATTAGCAAATTGTGTTTAACTGCTACATGCTTGACATGCTCTATTTTTCTTGTTGAAAACAGAACATGAAAGCAAGGGTGAATAACTAAGAAAAAAAAATATAATAAGTTGAAATTATAATATGCAACTTCGCACACACAAAAGGGGAAAAAACTGATATGATATATTTAGATTATGAACTTAGTTTGACACCCATTGAAAGTATTTACAAGTGCAAAAAGACCAAGATTGACTAACCTTGATTGAATAAAACAAACAGTAAAATATGACTAAGTTAACGAGCAAACACCACTTATCTGCATACCTTACTTTTTCTGAACATAAACAATATCTAACCAAATTTACAAGTAAAACAGAAAATTACAAACTCTAAAATATTCAATTTTTATGATGGAAAAATCTCAATTACCAACATTCCTATGATGTTTTTTCTCTTATGTTTCAGGTTCTGAGGCTATGTTTGCTGATCTAGGACACTTTTCACAGTTGTCAATTCAGGTGCACAATTGAAGCCTTTGAGAGGAATATTATTTGGAGATTTTGTTTTCAGAATTATGTTGAATTTTTTTATGGGAAAAGATGTTTGTCTAAATCCAAAATATATTGACAAAGTAAATTTATATACTCATTTTTTCGCTAATTAATTCTTATAAACAACTATTATTATAATAAGAATTTATACTATTTAAAGTTGATAGCGTCATTCTCAGATTGAAACCAAACTTCTGATTTGGCGAAATGGAAAATGGCCCAAGTTTAGATGTACATTCTCATTTTTTTATTTGAAAGCAATGCATCCAATGCACCAGGGAGAAAACATGATATATATTTTGTTCTAAGATATTTTTTATATATCCATTTCCTTCGAAACATTACTTTTCACTTTCCTAGTCAAACAGAACCGAGTCTTAAGGTGAAAAGTTAATGCTACATCTCCCAAGGTTGAAAAAGTAGGAGTTTCACCTGTGTAACAAGTAAAAAATGATACTCTAGGATATGACTGAGTGATTTAGATGGCTGGCAACTGATTTTTTTTCAGTTAAGAATAATACTTAGCATACCAATTACCAACACAATGAACATGTTTAGATACAAGCCTACAAGAGGTTTTAGAGTTTTTCTGCTAAAAAATATTCTTAATTTTTAGTAAAGATTCTCTCAAATGTTCTTCTAGACTATCCAAACTGGCTCAATACCATTGAACAAAACTGTATTAAAAGATAAATTGTACCAAGAATGGTGGGATTCTCTCTAAATTCTCCAACTCACTAGTCTTCATGCTATATATTGGTAATGTTATTCAGTAACTTTAATGCTTGAGCTTTTCATGAACTTTCTGTTTTATGTTTTTCTACGGGCCTTATTTGGGAGAGGTTTTATAAATTATTTTATGTATAAGTTAATTTTAATTTATGAAAAATTTATTTTATTTTTCTGCCGAGTATTTTTGGAGAAATATATACCAACCGTGAATATGAATCTTTGGATTGACCAAAAGTAAATGAATATGAAGCTTTGGGGGATGGTTTCTTGATTAGAAGCTTCAGAGAAATAATCAATGCATTAACAAAATGCACTTACCTGCAGATTGCTTTTACTTTTTTGGTATACCCTTCTTTAATCCTGGCATATATGGGACAAGCTGCATATCTATCCAAGCATCATACTATTGAAAGTGATTACCGAATTGGGTTCTACGTATCTGTACCTGGTAAAATCTTTGTCACAAGGGACACTAGTTTAAAGAATGATTAAGCGTTGGCTTTTTGCCTTACATTTTCTCTTTTCTTTTGTTTTTAAGAGAAAATTAGATGGCCTGTTCTTGCTATAGCCATACTTCAAGCTGTGGTTGGAAGTCAGGCTATCATCACAGGTACATTCTCAATAATCAAACAATGTTCTTCCATGGGATGCTTCCCGAAAGTGAGGATCATTCATACGTCATCGAAGGTACATGGCCAGATTTACATTCCCGAGATCAACTGGTGTTTGATGCTACTTTGCCTGGCCATTACTGTTGGATTCAGAGATACAAAACGCATGGGAAATGCATCAGGTACTCTACCTCCATGATGCACATGCAAATTTAGAAGTAGTGAATGTCTGAAATGAATCATCTTTTTATGTCACTATGTTTTTTTTTTTTTCCCTCTAATCTTAATTTCCTTTCTCTTTATTCCCTTTCCTCTTTTGGTAGTTTAATTGAGCGGAAATTAGTAGCTCAAAATTTTCTTCTTGGGTTTGATTTTTAAAGAAAGTCATCCAATAAAAGCATTATGGATATGTTTGGGTAAACTTCTCTAGAATCACTTGTAGGGAACAAAAATAAGAAAAAATGAAAGAAATTTCTCCATAAGTTAAAATTAACTCGAGTAAACTAATTTGTAGAAGTTTTCTCCTTAGTTTATTAACTTCTCTAAAATCTTATTTTTAACTTGCATATTCTCATTTTACCTTAGAGAAGTTTATCTCGATCTCTCTTTCTCTTTTTTTCTCCTAGAAGTACTTTTGTATAAGATTATCCTAACAAACCCTATATAAAGTCAAAGATCAAATAGGATTAGTTCAGTCTATCTGCATCTTGTGACACTTTCTAAATTAATATCACATGGTGTTATCCTGAATTTTAAAAGACAAAGTACCTCGAGAATACTTGTGAATAAAATTATTCAAACCCTGACTGATTTTTAACAGCCTACTTTTAGTTTTGATTATGTAATATATTTCAAATGAACTTTTTTTTCTTCCCATAACAGGCTTGGCTGTCATAACTGTAATGCTCGTGACCACTTGCTTAATGTCTCTAGTCATAGTATTATGTTGGCACAAGAGTATTTTCCTAGCCATTTGCTTCATATTCTTCTTTGGCTCCATTGAAGCACTATACTTCTCTGCATCCCTCATCAAGTTCCTTGAAGGGGCTTGGGTTCCCATTGCCCTATCTTTCATCTTTCTTATTGTCATGTACGTGTGGCACTATGGCACACTTAAGAAGTATGAGTTTGATGTTCAAAACAAGGTTTCCATCAACTGGCTCCTTGGTTTAGGCCCCACTCTAGGAATTGTCAGGGTTAAGGGAATTGGCCTCATACACACTGAGCTTGTTTCTGGGATCCCCGCTATTTTCTCTCATTTTGTTACCAATCTCCCAGCTTTTCATCAAGTTGTGATTTTCCTTTGCGTTAAATCCGTGCCAGTGCCACATGTGAGGCCTACAGAAAGGTTCTTAGTTGGTAGAGTTGGCCCTAAGGAATACCGGCTCTATAGGTGCATAGCAAGGTATGGCTATCGTGACTTTCACAAGGACGACAATGAGTTTGAAAAAGATCTCATTTGCAGCATAGCAGAATTCATACGCTCGGACACTTCTGAAAACAACCTAGGATTCGAAAGTTATGAGGATGACACAAAGATGACAGTTGTTGGGACCTCAGCATCAAACTCGGAAGGCATAATGATGTGTGAAGATGATAATTCTCAAATGGAAGACACTCTAGAATTGAGGGTGGTTAAGTCTCCTGAAATAGTGAGGAAAAGAGTAAGGTTTGTTCTGCCAGAGAGTCCACAGATTGATTTGAGTGCAAGGGAGGAGTTGCAGGAGCTGATGCAAGCGAGGGAGGCAGGAATGACATTTATAATGGGTCACTCATATGTGAAAGCAAAAAGAGGATCAAGTTGGATAAAGAAAGTTGTAATCAATTATGGGTATGATTTCTTGAGGAGAAACTCTAGAGGACCAAATTATGCTCTAAGTATCCCTCATGCATCTATCCTAGAGGTGGGCATGGTTTATCATGTCTGAATTTTGGCTACAAGATATGTAGTTCAGTATATGGTTAGGTAAATCTTGCACAGTAAAAATGGTGGCATTTTGTATACTAACACTCCATGCTACCAATATTTACATTTTACCTTTTTCTTATTGCTCTTGGTACATAAATAAGCTGTCAAGAGGGAGTACATGTCACGTTGTCCAAGTTCTCATCCAAGTATCCTAGCATGAACTTGAAATATGGATCAAGTGGACAAGGGATATTTTTGTGGGAGTTTATTTTTTTTAATAGAAAACTTTGTAATTGAAGGGTAATTGTGGATTGTGTAAGTAGCTTGCCTAGAATTTTGTAAAAGATGTGTTGCGTTAGCCCCCCCTAAGTAAATATGTTTTGTGCTGCTGAAAATTGATACTGGATCCTTGTTAGCAGATTGGTTGATCATCTCTTGTATTGAAACATGAGAGAAAGTAGCAATCCTGCAACATATTTTTTGCAAATAAATAAATTTTATGAACATTTAAATGGGACATTTGTCGACGCCTTCGATTTTGTGGTGTATTTTTTTAGATGCCTAAATATGAAAAAGGTAAAAAAAAAAAAAAAAAAACGATACATAGACATGATTTTATATACACCATAAACATTTTTATATTAAGGAAATCAAGCTATGAAATTAAATTATATTTAATTTAATCAATTACCACTAACTCTTATACTTTTGATGATTCTGATGAAGAATAGATGTTGTATGAAACTCTTGTAGTAGACTCTTATATAATCACTCTTGAGTATAAGAAATTCAAAGAAAATTGTAAAGTCTTGCAAAAAGAAAATGAAAAACTCAAGAAAAATATATCAGACGTTATTTTAGAAAAGATGGTTTAACCAAGAGTAAGGTGAATTGGTTATTAAAATTTTTTAAATTTTCTTTGTTTTAAAATATCTTCTAAGACTTTTCAAAGAAGTATATTGATATATAATTGTATATAGAATATAATGTTGAGATTACATGCAAATTCAAATTCAATTTGTCCTATATGCAATGTTCATGTTTCATATCATACAACATCAAACATATAATCATATTTGCAAGAATGACAAGACAAGTGTAGAGGTAGAGAAAAATGTATAAAAAATTTATATTAGTTTAGTCATATCTACTTGTGATTTACATCTAGCCCCCAATTAATCCAATTGAAAATTTTCACTAATATTTAATGTTAGAAGTTTTAGAATCACAATATCATATGCAGTACACTTCTACACCATTAAAAAAGTCACTTCTTGCACCCTAAAAAACATTTACTTATAGCATCCCACTATAAGATTTCCATTTCCTAAGAAACCTACTTAAAACAAGTTACAGTCATTAAAGAACGAACTCACCTTATTTACAAAACATTTTACAGTAGGTGAATCAAACCATTATAGCTTAGCTTATAGCTCCATGAAGATGATGATCAATTCAATTCTTGAATCTTTTTTTGAGGTTCCTGCAAAGGGTGTCAAACCTCTTCTTTTAAAAGGGAAAACACTTTTCAGAGAGTATTTTCGAGTGTCATCTCACAAAGATTCATGTTCTTTGAGTTCTAAATGTGAAAATTGATATATAAAGTTTTCTGATAAAAATAATTGATTATTTATATGGATAATTGATTATTTTGTTCTTTGCAGATCTAAAAATCAACCAAGAATAACAATCGATTATTTTGAGTGATAATCAATTATTCTAGAAATCTATTTACGAAATAATCAATTATTTTGCTTAATGATCAATTATTACAACAATGCTTCTCAGTTACTAAAAATAGAGCAAATAATCGATTATTACTTAAGAGAAATAGCAACTTACAAAACAATTTTATACCTTTCTCCCACTTTGGACATTATCAAAAGTAGAGTATATAGTCCAAAAATTAAGAGAAATACACCATACATTGTAGATTATGCAATCAAAATGTAAATAATGAAAATTTTGAAAATAACCCAAACTAAAACATTCATTGCCAAACATAATAATACTATATTAAGACCAAATTGAAATTGTTCGTAACACCAAACATTTACAACCATTACAATAATCTAAATTGAAACAAGCTAAAATTGTTCAGAATACTAAAACATTAAATTCATTACAAATTAAATTAAAACAAATTAAAACTAGAGTCCTAAGGTTAAGCCTTCAATAAGAATCATCCTCTATGCCAAGATGATGTTTGATCTTGCTAATCCCATCTTGAAGCTCATTAAGGCGATCAAACATGCCTAAAAAAGTAGACTCATGCTTCCTATTTGCTTCATTATAACATCCATTTTGTTAATCGCACTTACTCAAACTAGGAAAATGGTTTTAGTTCTGGTTCCACTTCCTTAACTTGTTCTTCAACAGAAGATTCATCACCAATAACTTCATCCTCATCAGTCATAGGATCATGAGTTTGAGGCACATCACCATTAAAAATCCATCTATTTTCTTGATTTTTCATCTCCATGTGATGAAGAGAAACTTTCCTAATATTGTTAGATGAATACAGAACAATCTTTTTCTCACTCGTGAGGTCCACACCATATTGCTCAAACACTTTTGACAAAAAAATGCATAAGTTAATCCTCTTTTCTCCTTGCTTTCCAAATGCACTTATTAATAACAAAAACTCAATCAATCTGCACTTTATTCTTAATAGTAAACATAAGCAACAAATCATCCCTAGACATATGAGCATGATTATGCAACCTAGGCTTAATCATCCATGCTATAATAAATGAAATTAACTTATCATTTTTTTTTCATGCTACCAGCCAAGAACTTATTGTAGTTTGCAATTTTGGGTTTCCTTTGGAAATCGCTAAAAGTAGTCATATCACTGAAATTTTCAAAGTTAGGACTTGATGGAAATACTTGAGGAGGTGATTGATGTTCCTCTCCAAGCTCCAACTTCAAAATCCCCTTCTTCTCTTGAGGTATTCAACACGCCAATGATGTAGGATGAACAAGCTCCAAAGCTTGTTGAAGCAACACAAGGAGGTTCGGTTTCTTCCTTGAAGAGGAATAAACTTAAGGAACCTAGAACAAAGGAGGAATTCCTTTGTTGAGAAGCTTAGGGGAAAAGCTTCTTCTCCATGGACTTGGACTCTTGAGAGAGAGAATTTTTAATGAAAAATTCTAATATCATATACTCAAAAGTGTGTACAAATGAAAGGTTTAGAAATATATAGAAGTAGGTAGCTTGTGGAGGAAGCTAAGCTTAGCCATGGTTGATTTAGTCTTGACCGTCCACCTTAGTTTAGGAGGCTTGTGGAGCAAGCTTCTATCTTAGCTTGCTTGGAAAGCAAGCTAAGTTAGAAGCTTGTAGCACAAGCTTCCCAAGGCACCAAGGCTAAGAAGCCAATTCGGCCAAAGGAGGGAGTGAGCGGCCTTGGCTTTTTTTTTTCTCCATGGATCCAATCCACATAATTTGGAATTGGTTTAGTTAGGTTCACCCAATGATGGTGAGACCTAGCTAAATCAATTCCTTGAAAAATATGGAGCAAAACAAGTCCAATATGTAAAATTTGGCCTAGGCCCAACTCTGGCCCAATTGCTAATCACACCCTTATGCCTTGCTAATTGTCATCCCACTTCTACTACTGAAGTCATTTATCTCCAAAAGGAAATTTTGTGCCTGTTAAATTAAAATGGAAACAAAAATATAATATTATAATTTAAATACAATGCAAGACCTAATACACCTAATAGTGAAAAATAACTAAAAAAAGAAGGAGGAAAAAATAAAAATACTTTCTCACTATGATTGGTACAAGCATAAAAACCATAAGAAATTATTAAGCAAAAACAATGTCAATTGATTACAACATTAGGGAATAAGGAGAAGTGTAATTTAGAATTATTGTATAAGATGATAATGCAATACAGAAAACCACTTATTTTTTTAATAAAAGTTGATGTGCTAGAGTTGGTTGTCTCTTCTTTTTTAAACTTTTGGTGACTAATTGTTGGAATTGAGGCTCCTCCCATTCAATCAAATTACAACATCTGAAGTAGTGGAAGCAACACCTAGTACCAAATAGATGTAATAGAAACTATTAAGAAAAGAGGATTTGATCTAGGCCAGGGGAGATTGAATCATGTTCCGTGAAGACAAACTCTGCACACAAAAAAGATGAACCAATTAATTTAATATTAACCTCTTCTATATGTTTTTTCTTTCGATAGAAATGAAAATATTAACATAACCTGAATTATAACATTTATATTTAAATTTGGTTACAATAATATTTTTTTTAAACAAATTCTGCAAAATCATTAAAGATTGGTAACAACATTATAATGATAGAAAATCAATTTAAATATCAACAATATGAAGAAAGATAAAAAAAAAATGATAAAATGTAAAACTCATGATTCTCTATTCTTCTCTTAGCCAAGAATAAAAAACAACTGAACCAACCAAAATCTACTAAAAATAACAATTCATAGTAGTTGTAGCAGCTAAAAATCTGTTGAAATTGCCAAACCTAGATTAACTTGGGTCTAGAGTAGAACAACCAAGTTTGTTTTTGTTAAGAAAAGAAAAAATCTAAAAATTTGTAGTAGCCAGCCAAATGTAGGATCAAGAGAACTTAAAAAAGCTTAATAGCTCTTGACCGGATTCTAGGCCTAGCAATCTTCATATTTTTCTGACTCTTGAGATTAAATGGTTGAAACAAATGGATTAGGTTTTTATAAGCATCTGCCTTAACAAAAAATATATTTTTCTATTTCCTAAATCCAATTAAAATGAGTGAGAAATTAAATTAGGAATCTTTTTAAGAACAAAGATTCTCAATTTAAGATTCCTAGGAAAGTAAAATCATTTCGTATATCAAATGCCCCTTTAAAGTAAGTGGATCCCTCCTCGTGTGTGTGTGTGTGCGTGCATGTGTGTGTGCGTGCGTGCGTGTGTGTGTGTTTATAATTATGGGTTGCTTTTATGTGACCCATGACTAGGACTTGTTTGTGGATATTTATAATTATGTTGTGATCTTTTGTTTAGTTAGTTTTCTTTTATTGTTTTTCAATGATACACGCTAATTATTAATGATGGAATCTCCAAGGGCAATGATTGACGAATTCATCCACAAAACCAAATAGCGAAGAAAAGAAACAAAGATGGATAGAATTGATGTGTCACCTTCCAAGTACAAGGAAAGCAAGATATGAGGAACTTTCCACAAGGAGGAATTCATTGATGAAAGTTCTTAAATAGTAAGAATTCCAAAGAGGAAAAAGACTTTCGAAGAGATAATTTTTAGAATATCAATCTATATAATGCTCAAAAGTGACACACACATCAACATAGGTAGTATTTATAGAGTGAGGTAGCTTGGGGAGCAAGTTAGGCTAACCATGATCAAAATAGAATTATTGTTGCTTAACCATGAGTTAATTGGCACGCCAAGGATGATTCAAACTTAGGCGACAACTTCCCCATGTGCCCCATGTGCTCTAGATCTAAACTAACTAATGAGAAGATGCCATGTGACAAAC